ACCGGTGTACGCGGTCATCCCGTTTACTCTAGGTATGTATTTATATATGATTAATTAGCAACGTCTACGACTAAGTCAAATCACATTGGTTTAATTTTCAACAGCAAAACATGTGATATTTTAAATTAACTTTTGGGTACCCTTTGCCTTATTAAGAACAACCTGTGAGCCCATGTCAGCTAAATTATGTATTACTATTGACTTTGTACAAACCGACCAAGTTATTTGGTCCCAGCAAAATTCTTCTTTAACTTTATTAGCTAAACTATGGACTCTGTTAGTTCAGTAAACTCTTTAACTTTATTTACTAAACTATGGATTCTGTCAGTTCAGTAAACTCTTTAACTTTATTAACTAAACTATGGACTCTGTCAGTTCAGTAAACTCTTTAACTTTATTTATTAAACTATGGACTCTGTCAGTTCAGTAAACTCTTTAACTTTATTAACTAAACTTATAATGGACTCTGTCAGTTCAGTAAACTCTTTAACTTTATTTACTAAACTATGGACTCTGTTAGTTCAGTAAACTCTTTAACTTTATTTACTAAACTATGGACTCTGTCAGTTCAGTAAACGAGGCTTGTTTCCCGATTCTATGTCTTCTATATGTATATACTATTTACTATACTCTCTGTATACCAGCACTTGATCCCGTTCTGTTTGAGTGCACATTTCGTTGTCAGTCCTAATTACTAGACAGGGAAGTTTACAGTTGACCTCTTTTTTCAACTTACCTGGATAGATGCACCTTAGTATGTATTACTTATGCTATTTTTTCTCAGTTGTTTTGCTAATATTGGTGGCGATAAATGAAATGACAGTTGAATATATATCCCAGGAATACTATCTTCTTATGCTGTTATTGTTAATAAATAACAAAATATTATTATCAAGTATGTTTGATAAATCAATAAGGACAAGTAATTTGTATATATGGCCAAAATATAGCATTAATATTTGTAATTTTGTTCTCATTACATTACCTTTTACAGACTAATGTATCTATATGGAATGGTAGGTGGAAATAGAGATGTAACAAATAGACTCGGGCAGGACCTAGTGTAAGAGGCCCAGAGGCATGTATCGCCCCCTGGATATTTTTAAGCATTCAGGCAAATTTTTGACAGATAGTATGCAAATAAGATCTCAGGTGTAGGACCAGTTACTTTGACAAATCCTGGTAGCTGTGTATCCAAATCTTCATGTTCATCAATTACATATATACACCTTTCATTTTTAGCTCACCTGGTGAGCTTATGCCATACCGCAGCATCCATCCTCCATCCGTCGTCCGTCCGTCAACTTTTCCTTTAAAAAGCTACTAGTCCTGAACGGCAAAGTAGATTTTGACTAAATTTGGTCTGGAGCATGCTTTGGCCAAGGGGACTTAATTTTGTATAAACGGTGGGTGTGCCCCCCCGCCTGGGGGCTGAGGGGTGGGGCCCAATAGGGGAAATATAGCAAATTCTTTAAAATCCTTCTTGTTCTGTAGGAATGAAAGGATTTGTTCCATATTTAGTCGGAAGCATCCTTGGGTGAAGGGGTACAAATTTTGTATAAACGGTGGGTCTGGGCCCCCTGGGACTGAGGGGCAGGCCCAATAGAGGAAATATTGCAAATATGTAACAAATCCTTCTTCTGTAGGAATTAAAGGATTTGTTCCATATTTGTTCTGAAGCATTATTGGGTAAAGGGGAACCAATTTTGTATAAAACGTGGGTATGGCCCCCCAGGGGCCTGAGGCTCAGGGCCCAATAGGGGAAACATTATATAAATATGACATTCATTAGCAGGTGACAATGGGTTTTTGAGGGTTGACAATATATACTGTCACCTGCTAATGGATGTCATATCTATTTTGTTACACCAAAAGTCAATGTAGCTCAGAAACGGCGGCAAACCTCGATAATGACATCTTGTTTGTTGATAGTCTGCTGTTTACAATCGCTATCGCACCGGCGCTTGATGAAATTGGCTCTTGCCGTCAAACGTTCTTGTGACCATCACGTTGGCGAAACGAAGCGGTGCACGCACATTTTTTGCGCATTTGATATTTCTTACTGTCTCATGGCAATATCACCCGCGCCCCTTAAAACCAATGTATTTTCGGAGGGTGACAGAGATTTTTGTTTAATTTTCTCCCAACCAATCAAATAGCTAGAAATTCACTTGTGGTGTAACAAAGTAAATTATTCTATAAAATCCTTCTTCTTCTGTAGGAATGAAATGATTTGGTCCATATTTGGTGTGGAGCATCCTTGGGTAAAGGGGAATCAGTTTTGTATAAATGGTTGGTATGACCCCCTTAGGGGCATAGGGGTTGGCCTCTGTTTAAAATTTGTTCTCGTTATATCTGAAGTACTGGATGGATCTTTCTGAAATTTCATATGTACTTACAGCACCTACCATGGAGTGCTATTTCTTTACTTCATACCAAATATTTTAAACATATTCAGGTGAGCGATACAGGCCCTCTGGGCCTCTTGTTGCGAAATACTTGTCCGGAAAACTCCTCTTCAAATAACTGATGGATTTCATTGAAACTTTGCATGAATGATCAGTATCTTATGTAGTTGGGCACCGGCATTTTAATTTTGGATTTCAAACCTTTTTGATGGAGATATGCCCCTTTGTGCAAAATACTTGCATTGGAGGAGATATCTGCATTACAACTTTCAGCAAAACTTGTTCATATGGGCTAACAAGTTTTGGTTTGCAAGTATTTTTTTGCATTGAGAGGGAGTACAGGAAGTATGTGAGTGACCTATATACTTAAATAAGTGTACAACTCGGCCAATAAAGAAATCATTACAAGTGGGAGACCATATTGCTTTGCATTAGTAAGCCTTTAGCTTACAGTTCTGGTTTATATAGGAGCGGGGGTATTAGTTAGCCTTTGGCTTACAGTTCAAGTTGGTAATGCCTATTTTTTAGGCTGTGCTATTTTCCTGGTAATCTTGTTCAATGGGAATAGCTATTTTTTAGGCTGTGCTGTTGTCCTGGTATTTTTGTTCAATGGTAATAGCTATTTTTTAAGGCCGTGATGTTTTCCTGGTATTTTTGTTTATTTGAATACTTTAGTTCGTTACATCAGCAAACAGTTATAATACACCAAGTAACACTGCCAATATACAAAAAAATAAATGATCTGGACAGATTTAAAACTACTTAAAAATAGTACTACACAGAATGAGAGTTATATATATATCAATTATACACTGATACTTCTGTACAGATAATTCTTTTATCAGAGCAATTACATACATTTAATTGTATGTTTGCAAGTTATTATCGTTGACGAGGGATATAGAAATGGGGTCTGGGAGGCGTCTGTCCATGCACCTGGTTAAGAAGAATTGCTCTCATCTATTGTATATCCTGCCTACTACAAGTGCTATGCTGGTTATACTTACATCAATTGTGTATCTAGGGTTGCTCTACTGAATGCATTTTGCGGATGTTGATTTTGACCTGTATTTTACTCTTCATGTTTTTAACGACTTTTGATATGCGAGCGGGGTATATCGACGACAGCATCTTCTTGTTTACTTTATTTCATTTATCTGATTACTACTGGTTTTAAGCTCAACCAATGCAGCAGTCACAACAACAGACACAGATGCCCATTCAGGTCAGCATTCCATCAGCAAGCATTAATCCCGATCAGATGTCGAGCCAGGCCATAACTTCGGTCACTGATGTCCCTAACACACTGTCCAGTATGCAACCGGTCAGCCAGTCTATGGTCCAGCAAAACAGCATACCATCGTCTGGGAAAATGCCACATCCGACAGATCCAACAGCCAACATAGGACTACCTGCTGGTGCTCAGGCAATGACACTGCCCAACCCGGAACCGACTGTGTTGAGGGACAGGAAGATCATTTGGGCAGGTAAGCAGGTTCATTCGGGCATAAGTTTGTACATAAAAATAATGTTAAAAGAGCTTTTTAGGTCACCTGAGCTTTAGCTCAAGTGACCTATTGCTATCCGTTTTCGTCCGTCGTCGTCCGTCGTCCGTCGTCCGTTAACATTTTACATTTCAAACTTAAAGTCAAGTTCTGCTGGGCCGATTGAACTGAAAGTTGGTAGGAATGATCGCCTCATGGTCCTGACAAAGTGTTGTTATTTTTCGGGTCGATCAGAAATCCAATATGGCCGCCACGGCCACCATTTTGAAAACCTATTTCAAACTTAAAGTCAAGTTCTGCTGGACCGATTGAACTGAAAGTTGGTAGGAATGATCGCCTCATGGTCCTGACAAAGTGTTGTTATTTTTTGGGTCGATCAGAAATCCAATATGGCCACCACGGCCGCCATTTTGAAAACCTATTTCAAACTTAAAGTCAAGTTCTGCTGGACCGATTGAACTTAAAGTTTGTAGGAATGATCGACTCATGGTCCTGACAAAGTGTTGTTATTTTTCAGGTCAATCATAAATCCAATATGGCCGCCACGGCCACCATTTTGAAAACATATTTCAAACTTAAAGTCAAGTTCTGCTAGGCCGATTGAACTGAAACTTTGTAGGAATGATTGACTCATGGTCCTGACAAAGTGTTGTTATTTTTCAGGTCGATCAGAAATCCAATATGGCCACCACAGCTGCCATTTTGGTAAACTATTTCAAACTTAAAGTAAAGATCTACTTGGCCGATTGAACTGAAACTTTGTAGGAATGATCGAATCATGGTCCTGACAAAGTGTTGTTATTTTTCGGGTCAATCAGAAATACAATTTGGCTGCCATGGCCGCTATTTTGCTACTAAGTTCTAATAGGCCGATCTCACTTAAAATTGGTCTAGGAATGATCAGCTCATGGTCCTGACAAAGTTAAGTTAACATTATACTATTTTTTACTCAAATTGGTACATATTTCAACAACAAAAATAAATACTATAGACTCAGGTGACCGTTAAGGCCCATGGGCCTCTTGTTTGTAAGTACCATCATCTTTAAATTGAAGAAATAAAATTGCTGGACATTCCAACAAAGTAAACTGGGTATCTTTAAAAAGTTGAAATATGAAAATTGCTGGAAATTCCAACAAAGTAAAATGAGTATCTTTAAAAAGTTGAAATATGAAAATTGCTGGACATTCCAACAAAGTAAAATTGGCATCTTTAAAAAGTTGAAATATGAATAACAATTAATGATGTTATGCCACAATGACTGATGATCAGAAGACTCTGAGTGAGTAAATAGATGTATCTTAACTGCCAGTGAAACGTAATTCTGAATTAAAATCCTTCAAACTGGGTTACTACATTTTCTGGTCAAAATAAGACATTGTTACTTATTTTGTCAGATCAATAGTAAGATATTGTTATAATTTGTCAGGTCAATAAGAAGACATTGTGACTATTTTGTCAGATCAATAGTAAGATATTGTTACTACTTTGTCAGGTCAAAAGTAAGGTATTGTTACTACTTTGTCAGGTCAATAGTAGGTATTATTACTACTTTGTCAGATCAATAGTAAGGTATTGTTACTACTTTGTGCAATCAATAGTAAGGTATTGTTACTACTTTGTCAGGTCAATAGTAAGGTATTGTTACTACTTTGTGCGATCAATAGTAAGGTATTGTTACTACTTTGTCAGATCAATAGTAAGGTATTGTTACTACTTTGTCAGATCAATATTAAGGTATTGTTACTACTTTGCACAATCAATAGTAAGGTATTGTTACTACTTTGTCAGATCAATAGTAAGGTATTGTTACTACTTTGTGCGATAAATAGTAAGGTATTGTTACTACCTTATGCGATCAAAAGTAAGGTGTTGTTACTACTTTGCACGATCAATAGTAAGGTATTGTTACTACTTTTTGCGATCAATAGTAAGGTATTGTTACTACTTTGTGCGATCAATAGTAAGGTATTGTTACTTCTTTGTCAGGTCAATAGTAAGGTATTGTTGCTACACTTTATCAGATCAATAGTAAGGTATTGTTTCTACTTTGTCAGGTCAATAGTAAGGTATTGTTACTACTTTGCACGATCAATAGTAAGGTATTGTTACTACTTTGTCAGGTCAATAGTAAGGTATTGTTACTACTTTGTCAGATTAATTGTAAGGTATTGTTACAATTAATCTGACAAAGTAGTAACAATACCTTACTATTGTTACTACTTTGCACGATCAATAGTAAGGTATTGTTACTACTTTGTCGGATTAATTGTAAGGTATTGTTACTACTTTGTGCGATCACTAGTAAGGTATTGTTACTACTTTGTCAGATCAATAGTAAGGTATTGTTACTACTTTGTCGTATAAATAGTTATATATTGTAACTAATTTGTCGGATCAAATCAAGACATTTCAGACCAATAGTACAACATTGTTACTCATTTGCCAGATCAGTCACCAGATGTTGATCTTTATTTGCAGGTCGACTTGAATGGCGGGAAAAGATGAAATCTACAGGACCTCCCCCAATCCAAGTGTCCAGGTTACTGCAATGTCAGTTATCCAGCGGACTAACAGACCCAGTAATGTAAATAGAATCAACTTATATTGTATTTAAGTGAAAAACATGTAGAGCAAAATAATTTGTTTGTTTTGTTTTAAGTTATTCTTATAAATTAATTGCAGTATCATTGAGTATTACCTGTGTACCATCTCCCTGCTGTAGCCTCATTATCGTGTTGTGTGCATATTAATTAATTCCCAACCATGTTTGACATCTATGTATTAGCAGAAGTGTAAATTCACTGGATGTGTAAAACCATATTTCAGCATGGCATTATTAAGGGGAAATCACATAGGGGATTCTCGACCATCTTTAACGATATTCTAACTTCAATACATCACAGTTGTTAATTTCGTTATCAATTAACATTATAAAAACAGGGATTTAAACTTTTCTTCAATTCAAAATGATCAAAGAGTGAGTTACTCTCGTTCTGATATTTTTTAAAATGAACGTAGCCAAAAACTGTTTCTACCCAAGTCCCTCCATCAGTTTCAATGCTTGGCCAAATTCTTGCATATATATAATACAATGAGACAGCTGTGATTTGATTGGGTGGTGTTTTTGAAATGACAAAATGAATAGATTTTGATAAAAATTGTCCACTATACTTTCTACTCAACTTTGATGCCTTGCAGAATTCACGAATATTCGATAAGGCTACAATAATACATCTACAGATATAGTGCCCTTTATTCCTTCATTATGGTGTTTAATCATTCCAACGGACAGGTGGCAGGCAACACATCAATTTTCATGGAGTGTTCATTAGAAGAATCTTGATACATATAAATATAATGTGATATATTTGAAATCCCAGCTTACTTTCCTCATAAATTAAGGTGAAAATAAATATGTCACAATATATCCATGGTAAACTTCACAATACTACGAAAATAGCACCGCTACAAAATCAGCTCTGTAAACATTTGAGCTTTCTTCGGACACAATATTGGGCCGGAGGTCGACTTATTTGGTTGTTGTCAATATTCATGTGTAAGATGCTATTCTTTACTTTAGAACGACGTATACAGAATTATTCATTGTCAGTGGATGCTGAATGTGTTTTTTCCCCTTTGACAGCAATGCTTCCAACTGGCCAACAGATCTGATCATGCAGTTGATACCACAGTTTTTGCTCAACTCCTCGCAGTTAACTCCCTTGTTTAAAAAATCGAGACAGGTGGGGTTCCACTTCAACAGCGACAACTTGGAGGCCCTGTGTAACCTCTACAAAGTCATGCAGACTGGTTTTGTAAGTAAATCCACTTGGTCACGTACTCTAATCATACTCTTACTCACCATTAACTCAACGTTGTCGACGTCATACCATTAGTCATTGACTACTATTGACGTATCTTCTTGTGTTACTGGTTCACACTCTAATTGTTACAAGATACAAGAAACTTTATTTAACGTCGCATATATCAAACAGAGAAACATTAGCGCTGTAGCGCTATTTTTGAGACAAGCATGATTAAAGCAAAACAGAAAACAACAAAATCAAGCTATACACTATCACAGAAAGCTAGCAACTACAGAGATTATTATCAGTCTTGTACTTTCATCTTATTTTGCATAACCAAATTAATTTCAACTTATCTCAAGTAGTTAACAACGGATTAAATTCAAACTTCATAGGAAGGTTCATTACCATGAAAGCTCGGGACAAGTTCAATAACCGCAATTATGGAGTTATGGCCCGTTATTTAATTGCCAAAACAGTGTCTGCTCGAAATCTTGAGTAGTTTTCTACGGATAAACTTCAAATTTAAAAGGAAGGTTCATTACTAGTTTCATGATAGCTCAAAGAAGTTTGATAACCACCATTGTCCAACCGTAATTTTTGGCGGTAACGCCCATTATGTACAACCATACAGACAACTACTTATCAATGTATGACTGGCGTATTATGTTCCGCTTTCGCCTTGTTTATTATTATTTACTTAACTTTTCAGGCTGGATGTGTGCACTTTCCCTCGAGCAGTCAGTGTGAGGTCCGCGTCCTCCTCCTCCTGTTCAGCAGCAAGCGTAAGGCTTTCATTGGTCTAATCCCCAACGATCAGACGGCCTTTGTCAACGAAATCCGCAATGCCGTCTATGCTCACAAGGTCAAGGTTGGTCCACCACTGTATTGTATCCATAACAACCTATACCATGTTGTGGTAGCGTAGGGTGATGGAAGGTATTCACATGCATGCAAACTTGTAACCCTGGCAATGTATACATACCCTAAGCATATCATTAGAAGGTCTTCTGTCACTGCTCACTGAAATTATCACCTTGATATAGAGGTTAATGCATTTTCATTGAATCTGATCTTCGCAATTTGTTCCTGAAAATTTACGAAATAATGTTATCCGTGACGTTATAAACAAAAATATAAATTGATGAAGTATCTAAATTGAGCATTAAGTTTATATGACAGAGTTGAACTTTGAGTATGCTGAATAAGTCTGCCTTGCATATTTCTAGTTCTGAGCATGGTCTATAGTGTACAGTGTTGTAGTAAGACCCTACCTTTATCTTGGTCAAGTCTTTTAAAGTTCCTCATAATGAACAGTCAGTTGAAATTTGTTTTGTGGGTTGAAATGCAATGTATTGATTTCCACTAATAGAATTGGATGAAGAAAATTCTAATTATGATATGAATTACTGTAAGGGACTTTCAAATCCTAGAAGTGTTAAATTTGTATATCATCCTCTGAATTCCTACCTATTATGATAGGTGGTTTGCTGATGTAAATACTTTTCTTGCTTCCGTTTGTCGTATATTTAGCTATCTTAGGTTCTTGCATAAACATCTGACAGCACGCAACCTGATGGTTACGGTGTTAGAAATTTTAACCTGAGGAATAAATAATAAATAATTGCTCACTAAACAAGACTTTTTGCTAAATCTCGAAAATGAAAATTCCATTTTTATGATCATGATTTGCGAAAAATTCGCAATTACATATAGTTAGATTCTGACATTATTGAAATAAAGTTTTTAATAAAACTAGAGTTCTAATTTGCTAGTGGAAAATTCTGTTATGCAAACATATATGAAAGTAGAAAAGAAAGTAGAAATGATTTTTCACTACAACAATAACATTGATATTACCGGTAAATGGTATAGACTCAAATAGCTTTTAAACCTGCATTATCCATTGTTCATGATAAATTTTGACCTTAGATCTTAGAAAAAAACATATACATGTATCACGAGTCATTTTAAACCATAAAGTTGTTAACTTTCTTCTAATGAAATACCAGGAAATTCTGCATTACAAACTTTAAGATATTATCTAAAGCTTAAGATCATTCTGCTATATGACATGCATGCTACATGGATTTTGTTTGAGTGCCAGTGATCACATGATGCCACATGATCAGTTACAACATAATGTAATGCCATGAGACACAGAATGTACACATAAAGGTTTCCACTTCATGTGCAAGGCCCAATCCAGGCCTTCCAAGCAGGCGGCCGGGGTTCGATCCCCGAAGTCGCCGTACGCGTGGAATATTAGAGAAAATGTTTTTTCCTGCCCACACAATTGATTAATATATATACTAATTGTATTGACTGTACAACATTGTATATCTATGTAATGTTGTATATATATATATATATAGAAGATTGACTGTGAAAACTCAAAAGGTAGACTTGGTTCTCAGCATGAAGATATGCCTAATTCATATTATTCATAGACAGTTACAGCATGTGACACTTTCCTGGTATTGCAGAGCAAGAAAATATAAAAAAAAATATTATCTGGATAATGCAGCTTTAATGAGACAAATGCTTAATTAAAATTAAATTGTGCAGATTATTGCAATTTTGGTAGTTATTATATGCTTGTAGTAAACTAAAGCCCATGCTATAATTCACATTGTTTAACCATAAATTTCAAAAAGGCAACTATTTTTCTCAATCTCAATATTTTTTTATTTTACAGTAATATTTTTTATTCAATGAGAGGTACTCAACAGTGCTTATGATTACAAAGTGGGGAAATTCTGAATTGGCAAATTTGTGAAGGAAAAGGGGTTCTTTTACATCTGATGGTACACATGCTACATAACAGAAAATGCTGAGTTGACCAAAATTATTTTAAAAAAATGATACAAGCACTGAGGATATTTTTTTCCCTTAACTCATTCACCCCTGAAGACACATTTGAACTTCTCTTATTCAAAGGTTGGAATAGTCCATTATGAAATTTCAGGGGGAGAATGAGTTTTTTTGTGTAAACTATGACAACACTTAGCAGATATTTACAGAGTTTCATAGCCTGATGATAATTTTTAAAATTGTTATCATTGCTTAAAATCAGAAATAATTAAACACTATGTACTTAACAAAATCATGACTAGAAAAAACCCATTTAAACTGATTTTTATGATGGCACTTTAATGACAGTGATAAGCAATTTATTAATCTGAAAAAAACACCAATCAGTTTTATTTTTGTATTGAGAAATTAAAGAAGGTACAGAAAATGCTGAATTCATCAATCTTTCAAAATGGTCCATTGTGCTAGATCTAAAAGTATGTAAATGTACAAATAAGTATATGAAATAATCGTTTAAAATGCCAGATTTTAAACTGTTCTATGTAATGAATTAAATTTTAGCATTAAATCTTAAGGATGTACACCTCTGAGAAGTCAAAAAATTCCTGTATTAAACTTTTTTCTTATATTGATTTTTGGAAAAAGGAGTTAAAGGGGCATCACGCTGAAGTAACTTTCTATTTTTGTCTTTTTTTCAAATACTACATAAACAAATCAAGTGAGACTCCTTATGAAAAAAAATAATGAAAAATAATAAAAATGATTAAATCTAAGATAATCATCGGTATTTCTACCTGTCTGACCAACGTTTTGTTCAGGGATTTCCCTCTACTAGCGCATGCGCATAGCACACCATTTCTTTGTAAACAAAATGACTGGCCGTGTGAAGTAAGCGAAAGAAAAAGTGTTGTACCGTGTCAGCTACGAAGCGAAAAGTTGCCAAATGGTCAAAAGATAGCGCAATGAGTACGTTACGGAATCATTATTGCCAGTGGAAAGTATTCAAAGGAGAAAATGCCTGCCCTAGCAGTTAGTACGGTGCATGTATTCTTCCGGATTGCCGGTCAAGCTGAAATGAAATCGACACAAATGCTAGCGCTGTTTATGTTATGAATAAATATCTGAAACTATTAACCTCGCTAGTAGTAGTATCATTGTGTGAGTTTGAACTCAGATGAACTTAGTTTAATATGTTAATGGACATGTATCGGAGAGAGTTTACTTTGTGGTTCTATAATTATACAGTGGTTTATGCGAAAGGAAGGGATACGTGACTGGTTAGTTTGATTTTGCCATGAGGCCCTCCAAGGGATAACCGTTGTGATGGCCATGGCGTATTCTGTTCTGTTCTCTGTCGGTTCTCTGGGTCAAATGAAATACGTGCGCTATTAGATTAACATAATTTATAATATTACCGGGAACAGTAAAATGGTATGATTTATTTATATTGCTGAATTAAACGAATTTATTTTGATATGCAAGAACCGGCCTCCTCTGGCGCGACGACGCAATATATAAAAAAAAATCGCTCTTCGTCAGAAAGCTACGTTATCGCAGCTAGATTAAAAATGTCAAAATGACGGACCAGGCTGAATAACTGAGGAAGGAGAACTTACTTCTAGTAAATAGGATCGCATAATATTTGTTTTTAAATCGTAATTTTTCAATAGTTCATGTTTTCATATGATGTTGACTTAGAATGTATGACCTTTTCTCTATAAAGAATTAATTTTCAACTTCAGGTAGAATCAGAATACGTTTTGAAAACAGGGGAAAAAATATTTTATTTAACATTTTGTTTAATAATTACGTTGTAAAAATGGCGCGTGCTGCCGATAACTACGGCTTATCTGTTTCGGACAAAAGGAACTGACTAAAGAAAAGTTGTCTCAACATAAAAAGGTCCATTTACAAGTATGCTTTAATCGCTGTAAAGTATTGAAAAAATATAATTATCAAGTATCTCAACACTTTCCATATCTGACACATATTGTACATGTACACGTAGTGGTTTTGCCATACAGTTTATTGTGTGTGATGGCTAATATGACTTACTTAGTGTTAGCGTATGGAGACAGCGAAAGTGGGAAAGAGAGTATACATACAATTATATGCATGGTATAGGGAAAAAATTGGCCGAAGACATTGAGTTGTACAATGTAATAAATAAATTCACAAACGTTTCTCTTTTTTATACGCGTGTAGTTTGTCATTGCGTATATGCACTTATGTAAACATTTAAAAAGGGATATTCGTCTCGTCAATATTCCTTTTTACAGAAAGGTGTGTCCCATGGTTGAGGGAAGGTGCTTAGCCCCGTACCATCTGTACCGGTACTAAATTCAATATATATTTATATATATCTTCTTTATGTTTATGCCTATTATCATTGTTGACATTTAATTGTAAATGTATGACGGGAGAAGGTTGTGATAAATTGTAAAAACTTGTGCCCCATACCTTGTTCAATTTTATTGGCAACAAATATATGTTTAAAGCTTAATAGTGTGCAATTAACTTCTGATGATGAATAATTATTGTTCAGTAAGTTTGAATACGGACTTAGAAATCATATTACTTGGTTTCATAGTGCGGTAAGAAGTTGCGGTTGCCTGACGGCCCCTCTCTGGGGGGCCCTTTTGAAACCGTTTCACTGCCTAGTCAGGTGACGTTATTGGCGTTATTTTTAGCAGGGCTTTCCCGAACAATTCAAGTGGTCAAACTGGACATTTGGAACGGACTATGAATATGGGGATAGCGAGGTAACATAAGTGGAAGTGCATACAACACATACATACATTAAAAAAAATATGGCTCTTCACGTGATGTCCCTTTGATGGCATAGTAGAAAATGCAAAAAAATATATATGTCCGTGTGCACGTTTTTGGGGCTATGATCGGTCAAAGATACTAATTTAACACAATATGTGATTTTAGGTGAATTTTCAGGTTTTTAACATTTGTAGAACAAATTCATACAATTTCTTCCAAGTGTGTTATCAGATATGTATGAATGTTTGTAGAATTGATAAAAATATTATTTTCTATGAAATTATGGAAGAAAAATTTCTTAATCTTATTCATTTTACTCAGAAATGCGATTTTAGTTACCCCTACCCCTTATTTTTTAATGAAAAAATGCACATTTTTCACCATTTTTTGCAGATTAAACGCTTGATATAAACAAATTCTGTATTAAACTTTTTTAAGTATTCAATGAATCAAAAGAAAATGTGATTCTCTTTCTTAAACAGCAACAAAAATTGGGGGTTGGTGTGCTTCTTTTTTTGTCCCATTATTAGGGCTTTTCACCAACTGGTGAAAAGACCTATTGTTTTTGTTATGTTTCTTCTTCTTCTTATTATTAATATTATTATTCCGTACTTTGCGGAGTCCTAATCTTTTGATTGGTAAAAGACAGGTTTATAGTCTTTAAAGTATGTTGTAGCAAAAGGTCTGAAGCTGATCAAGCAACATTTTGAAGTAGGTCAAAAATCCAATATGGCTACCATGACGTCATACCTCAAAATCTAAAAATGGCCATAACTCAAAAACGGTTTAATTTATAAGATTAATGCAATAATAGTATATATAGATAATCTTCAGGGCTAACTTTTTCTTATTACATGTTAATACAAAATATTTCTAATAAAAAAGCTCACTGTTGGGTCAAAGGTCACCATTTCTTTTAAAAACATTCATTTTTCTAAAACAAATTCTTCTACAGATCGATGTAGAATGCCATTCCAATGAATTTGATGTCTTTAGTTTTTCTGTAACATTTACCGTTAACGTTGTACGCCATTTTGAATATTTTCTTTCGAGTTTTTAAAAATATCGCAATATTTTAAAACTTGTTTTACTCCAATATCAATGACAAATAATTGGTTTATTTGTTATGAAAAAGGTTTCCCCAGATGTCCTCTAACATTTAAACAAAAATCAACTTCATTGAAAAATTATAATGGCCGCCATGACGTCATACTTCAAAATCTCAAATGGCTATAACTCAAACACGGTTGAATTTACAGCCTTTAAGCACTGACATTATTTGTAGATAAAGTTCTGGGCTAACTTTTTTTCGTTGTATATTATTACTTAAAAGGTCCAATGAAAAAGTTCGCTGTTGGGTCAAAGGTCACAATTTTTAACAAATATTCATTTTTGATTTTTTTTTTGAAAGAATTCTTCAATAGATCAATGAAGAATGTTATTCCGATGAATTTGATGTCTTTAGTTTTTCTGTAACATTTACCGTTAACGTTGTACGCCATTTTGAATATTTCCTTTGATCTTTTAAAATGCTGACAACATGTTAAAACTTCAATGATCTTCTTCTCCAATTCAGCCATTGCAATATTAACCACAATTAATACATGTATTCCTCTAGCGGCCCTTACGAACTAATGTTACTTTATGGAGCAATTAATATTCCAAGATGGCCACAACGAACTCTGATTGGTTAACAGCCTATACCAGAATATTTCGTTAACGATATCAAACACGAGGTTGATCTTTGGATATCATATAGAGATAGCCAAGGGCAAACTTTTTCTTTCATACTGTTTTAACAAAAAATGTCAACTTCCGGTTTTCAGCAGGGGTCAAAGTTAAAATGCACTATATTGGGTACCAACCTTAAGTTCCACATGATCTAGAATCTTGATATTTAATAATAAAGATTCTGAGATGTCGGGGTCTCAGGTTTGAAAAAATGGTTGACATTGATCAACTATCAAGGTCACAATCAAGGTCACAAACTTCATATGTGCTATTTCAAGTGATGACTTCAAAAAACTTCTTCTAAAGTTCTACACGGCCTAGAGTCCTACTATTTAATACATTAACATGGTCAGATGATTGACTATCAAGTTTAAAAAAATGATTGACCTCGAATGACTTTCAAGGTCACAGAGGTCATATATGTAAAAAATATTGAAACCACCATTTCTGAATAACCAATTATTTCAGGGTAACGATGTTTGGCAAAGAAGCATGCTTGAATGAAGGGCTTTAAAGTGTGTGCAAATGAACGACCTTGACCTACTCTAAATGTAATTTCAAAGGTGAAAGTCAAAAACCGTTTTCATTTTTGTGCGATTGTGAAGTGCTTTTAGTACTCTCAGTACTTTGATTTTTATCAAAACATCTAATACACGCTGGTAATACTACATCGATTACTACGCACTCCCAATCTTAAAAATATGGACAGTTTACATCTCTCCTGCGGTGGGTAAACATCAGCCTTTCTTTGGCATGGCAAACACAACCGATATAGACAAAAACCTATTTCAATTCATCATCCTCATGTACATAATTGACGGACTATATGACGACTTTTACAGACTACATTCATATACAACACCGCCCATTGGCTGCCTATATTTATCCATTCTTTCTCTGACCTCATTTCGCATTCCGGGAATCCCCCACTACTCAGTCAGTTACTGTAGACTTGCACAGGTTATTATTAGAAGGCCAAATCAGTCCTTACAGTGAAAAGCCCGTCAAATTGTTAGCCAACAATTTCTAGTTATTTGTGTTATTTTTCACCTTTTTCGGGGGTCAAAAATCAAAACTGCTTCAGTTGCGCTAATATGTAAAATAACATACCAATAATATATAACTTTCCACTTTTTTGCATATTATTTTAATCATATTGAACATTATAAAGTTGTACAGCAAAATTGAACCTGCTACAATTAAAAATGGTGACACAATGACAATTTAAGTGATCAATCTAGTGTCAAAAAAGGTGAAATTTTGGCCCTTTGTGAAGTGCAAGAAATTCACATAAATACACTTTTCAAAATGGCCACAAAATTGGTCATATTTTAAGAATTCTTGTAAAAAATGTTCTACACACAACAGACATCTTGATTTTTAACATGTTTTTCAGATGTGTGTTTACTATTATACCTATCATAAGTTGTTAATTATTACAAAAACGAGACTTGAATGTGACTGAAACCTCAGAAGAGTACATCCTTAAGCAAAAATCAAACAGTAGGTAATTCTACAGATTTTAAAATTATACATGGGGATGTAAATTCCAAAAATACCCAGACTTGGCCGGTATGTTGGTGATATGCTAAGGTTGTAGCTATAGACTGCTTCAGGTGCTTTGCATGCTGGTCACTGTTGTATATCATATACTCCCATCTGTATTATTATGATTTTGTTCTTAATTATCAATTTTAACAGCATTTCTGACCAAAAATTGTCAGTGAATTCCAGAAATTACTTTCTGAATTTAATATTTTGGAATGCAATTTCCTGGAAAAATTATTGGGACGTACAATATTTTGGAGTTTGATATACTCACAGTGTGGTATTTTAGTACAGTGCTGTATAAACACGTATATAACGATATAAACCTTTAAGTTTACCTCAGAAAACTGTTCCATGGTATACTTTTGACTTACAATAATCCTAAGTGTTTGGCCACTGTCAGACTCAATAGATAGACTCTTTTAAAAGAAGCAAAAAGTTAATAACATTTCCTCATGGATTTTTTTCTTAATTCATATTATTAATGATTCTTTTTTTATAATTCAAATCTACACTGACTGATGTTAGGGAATAACATGTTTATTGGTATACCAAATTGCAGCTAGTTGAAATTTAAAATTAATCAAAACTTTATTACATGTTTTTTAAAACTTTTAAAATAGTCGAGTGAATAGAAATTTTGGAACCAAACAAATCCTATCAGTTATTTTTAGTGTTTAGTACCTGCTAGGGACTTCATTTGGGTATGTTTATTTCTGGATGAAGATTTGATAGCTCATGTCAATAGCTTTATGTATCAATATGTAGTGATTTATTATGCTGGCATGAACTTAAGATATATCTGGAGTAATTCTTCACCCAAGTGCCTGCATATTAATTGTGAAAGATAAGGTTTTGTCTCTTATCACATTCGAAGATGCTACAGCAACGACAGCAACGACAGCAGGGCCCTCAGCCTCCACGGGGGCCATACACACAGGGCGTGTCTATGGCAATGCAGCAGGTACAGTTTCCCCTACCCGATCACCATGGTTACAATGTCGAGGTCATTATATCAAGGTCGAACCCTGGGTGTATAAAGTTATTGATTTCATTGTCTAAAGTCCACCATTTTTAGATCAGCAATGTGTCAATGTGAAGGTGAAACCCTCTGGGTGAAGATCGTTCATGTCCATATCAATCGTGTAATAGGAAGGTCAACCTCTCTATATAAGGTCTATAATATCAGAACAAACCCTTGCTTTACCTCACAGATGTCAATCTTACAATGTCAAGGTTGTACCTTAAATACATCAATGAAAATCCTGCAAATTTAATACAGAAATAGAATCTCAAAAGTTTGTCAATGATAAATGCATTAATTTTCCAAACCACAAATTATTTAATTCTTCAGCTACACGTTCTGTCTCTTCTGTAACATTATCTTGGTACAGTATTTCAAAAATAGAAATTTTCTCTTTATTATCGGTGAATTTCTTTTTCTCTTAAAAATCACATTGATATTGTGAATATTTAAATCACAACTTGAAAATGTGAAATTTCACTTTTCTTTTATAATGTATAATGGCTGAATTAGTTTTCCACTTAATTACCAATTCTTACTTATGTTGTTTTTTTGTTTCTCAAAATATTGTCCCTGTTTAAGCTTTGTTCTCATCTCTGAATTTCTCCACATCAACAGTTACTGATGGTGTGTACAACCATTTAGCAGATACTTTGATAGAAAGAATGTAAGAGGTTTTTCATTATTTTGTTTTTTCATGAATAAATGTGCTGCCTGTCTGATGATCATTATCTTCCTCTTTCAGTTTGCATGCTTGGGTCTTCCTAGATTTGCATGATGTGTTGTACTTGTTTATGTAAGAGTCACATTGTTAACATCATATTGTATTATAGTTTAATTATTTAAAGCAAAAAGACAATTTGATAAAAGGTTCAAACTTTTCAACTTTGAAATTATTATATAATCCATTCCAATATTGAATCATTCACCCCTGAAGACACATTTGAACTCTTCCACTTCAAGGTTGAAATAGTTCATTATGAAATTTCAGGTGTGAATGAGTTAAAAGATTAAAGTCAAGAAAGTACAAAAAGGACAATTTGATAAAAGTTTCAAACTTTTTAACTTTGAAATTATTATATTCCATGCCAATATTAACCTTGTTACACCTGTAATGGTAATAGCCTTGTCACACCTGTAGTGATGATAGCCTTGTCACACCTGCAGTGTTGACAGCCTTGTCAAACCTGCAGTGGTGATAGCCTTGTCACACCTGTAGTGATGATAGCCTTGTCACATCTGAAATGTTGACAGCCTTGTCACACCTGTAGTGGTGATCGTCTTGTCACACCTGTAGTGGTGATAGTCCAGTCACACCTGTAGTGGTAACAGCCTAGTCACACCTGTAGTGGTGACAGCCTAGTCACATCTGAAGTGGTGACATCCTAGTCACAACTAAAGTGGTGACATCCTTGTCACTCATGTAGTGGTTATCGCCTTGTCACACCTGTAGTGGTGATCATCTTTTCACACCTGTAGTGGTGACAGCCTAGTCACACCTGTAGTGGTAACAGCCTAGTCACACATAAAGTGGCGACAGCCTAGTCACAGCTAAAGTGGTGACATCCTTGTCACTCATGTAGTGATATTCGCCTTGTCACACCTGTGGAGGTGATCGTCTTGTCACAACTTAAGTGGTGACAGCCTTATCACACATGTAGTTGTGACAGCCTAGCCACACCTGAAGGTGTGATGGCCTTGTCACACCTGTAGGGGTGATAGCCTTGTCACACATGTAGTGGTGACAGCCTAGTCACACCTTTAGTGGTGACAGCCTTGTCACTCATGTAGTGGTTATCGCCTTGTCACACCTGTAGTGGTGATCATCTTTTCACACCTGTAGTGGTGACAGCCTAGTCACACCTGTAGTGGTAACAGCCTAGTCACACATAAAGTGGCGACAGCCTAGTCACAACTAAAGTGGTGACATCCTTGTCACTCATGTAGTGGTTATCGCCTTGTCCCACCTGTAGTGGTGATCATCTTTTCGCACCTGTAGTGGTGTTAGCCTTGTCACACATGTAGTGATGATATCCTTGCCACACTTGTAGTGATGATATCCTTGCCACACTTGTAGTGATGATATTCTTGTCACACTTGTAGTGATGATATTCTTGTCACACTTGTAGTGGGGAAAGCCTAGTCACACCTTTAGTGGTGACAGCCTAGTCACGCCTGAAGGTGTGACGGCCTTGTCGCACCTGTAGTGGTGATCATCTTTTCGCACCTGTAGTGGTGATCATCTTTTCGCACCTGTAGTGGTGTTAGCCTTGTCACACATGTAGTGGTGACAGTCTAGTCACACATAAAGTGGCGACCGCCTAGTCACACCTGTATTGGTAACAATCTTGTCTCACCTGTAGCTCACATGTTATGATGACAGTCTAATCACACCTGTAATGATAAGTCACAACTGAAGTGGTAAAAAATCTTGTCACGCCTGTAAAAAATGATAGTCTTGTCACACTTGTAGTGATGATATCCTTGTCACACTTGTAGTTGTGACAGCCTAGTCACACCTGTAGTACCAGGTGATGGTCTAGATAGCGCCCCGTATCGGAGATACGGGTGCCCTATAGTAATTAATCTGTCTGTCTGTCTGTCTGTCTGTCTGTCTGTCTGTCTGTCCGTCCACAAATTATGTTCCTGGCTGATAACTTTGGTATTTATTGACCGATCTACATAAAACTTGGTCAAGATGTTCAGTTCAGAAAAATACATATTGAGGTAAAAAGTCAAGGTCAAAGGTCAAGGTCATTAGGTTAAAAGGTCAAGGTCAAATTTTACATCTTTTCACTGATGAACATTTTGTTTATGACATTATGAAGCAAAATTGATCAGAATTAAACAAGGAGTCAACTGACTAAAGGTCAAGGTCATCGGATCAGAGTTCAAGGTCAAATTTTGTAGCTTTTCACTGGTGAACATTTCGCTATGACCTTATGAAGCAAAGTTGTTCGGAATTAAACAAAGAGACACAATGAAGTAAAAAGTCCAGATCAAAGGTCAAGGTCATTAGATTCAAAGGTCAAGGTCAAATTTTGCATCATTTCACTGATGAACATTTTGTTATGACATGATGAAGCAAAGTTAATCAGAATTAAACAAGGAGTCAACTGACCAAAGGTCAAGGTCATTGGGTCAAAGGTCAAGGTTAAATTTTGTACCTTTTCCCTGATGAACATTTTGTTATGACATTATAAAGCAATGTTGTTCAGAACTTAACACAGAGTCAACTGACCTTAGGTCCAGGTTACGGTGTCCAAAGGGTCAAGTTCAAGTTTTGTATTTTCACTGATGAACATTTTGTTATGATATTAAGAAGCAAAGTTGGTAGGAATTAAAGAATAAGTCAACTGACCAAAGATCAGGGTCAATGGATTAATGGTCAAGGTCATTTGGGTCCAAAGGTCAAAGACAAAGTGGATCTCTGACTTTGACCCCGGCTCTTGATTGAGAAGGTATATAAAGTGAAATAAAACAAATCAAAGCTAGCAAATGAGTATTGCACCGGTAATTACATTTCTGTTAGCCCAGCAAATATGGAGGTGGAAGGAAACACATCACATCATAGTACATGTAAAATGGATATTTTGCTTCCTTGCGATTCTTTTTGAAGTCCAAATGTCAAACGTCAAGCTCAGCTATATGGGCAGATTGCTTCTTGATGATTATGGGGGATATAATTGCCACAAGACGGGGCCCTTACTGACCTGTCAGTGTTCTAGTTTTGTCTCTCTATGTGTGAAAGTGCGTGAAAATTGAATGTGTCTTGGTGATTGTATAAAATAATCATCAGAAGATGAGGATGAGGTTGATGATGAGGATAAGGATGATGATAATTTCAATAGTTGATATGTGTGAATGTGTGGATGAGTGGATGTGGTTGATGTGATGTTCTGTATAATGTACATCTTCTGAAAATCTTGAAAAATTAAAAAAAAAAAAAAAAAAAAAAAGTTAACTGTCCAAAATCATCCTATTTTGGCTAAATTATTTAGTCGACATACTTCCCTTAATCGTTTTCTGATATGTTTACTTTGAAGTCATCATGTACTTTTTAGAATGTCTCTAAAAAAAACACTTTGGTGGACATGTTGATAAATATCTGTTTTGTTATACCATCAGAGGAAAATGCTCAAATTTAATATTGAAGTACTATTGGAACCATTTTCTGACCAAGTACCAATTTGGGTAGCTTGCCAATTGTGGTAACATTATATGACGTTACTTCTCTAATGTGGTGCCTGCGGTGAGATAGAGATCCTTCAATGTCTATAGTCACACCAAGATTGATGATTTTGGAAGTCTATTAATAATTAGTTGATGAAATATATCTACATTTCAGCAACAAAAGATCCAGGGTGCTCCAGGTTCCCAGCCGGTGAAACAGGTCACTCCTCAGCAGCAACAACAGCTGTTAGGTACGTCTGCATCTATTACCTCCCCTTCGTCTAACTCTCCATTTCCTTTGGTTTCAGTCCAGTAACGGGTTGTAATGTTAAATCCTATTAACAAACAAGCATTAATTTCAATTTACTTACATTACATGAGCAATCTAGTACTCGGCATCAGTAATTGAATAAATGATAAACATGTTTAAACTTCTTAATTGAGTGTGGAATAAGAAATGGACATGGGAATTATTTAAACTTGTTAAATGAGTGTGGAATAAATGATGGATATGGGAAAAAAACCACTTGTTAAATGAGTAAAGAATAAGTGGGCATGAAAATTATTTAAAGTTGTTAAACGAGTATGGAATAAGCAATAGACATGGGAATAATTTAAACTTGTTAATTGAGTATAGAATAAGTGGGCATGAAAATTATTTAAAGTTGTTAAATGAGTATGGAATAAGCAATAGACATGGGAATAATTTAAACTTGTTAAATGATAGGGAATAAGTGGGCATAAACACTATTTAAAGTTGTTAAATGAGTATGGAATAAGCAATAGACATTGAGATAATTTAAACTTGTTAAATGAGCAATGGATATGGGAAATTATTTAAAAACTTGTTAAATGAGTATGAAAGAAGCAATAGACATGAAAATTATTTGAACTTGTTAAATGTTCCAATCGCCTCTCCTTAAATTACTTCATGAAGTACAGTTGTTACGATTGATTTCATGAATCGACTTCTCCCTCATGTGTTCTAATAATCACCTGGGCTATTATTAGAATATATATGAAACAAATAATTCCCTGATATGACACATTTTACAGCTTTTGAAAGGTACTACTACAGGCCTTTGAAAACAGCTTGCAAGTACAGCTATCTATACTGTACTGCCTACTATATTATTGGTAATAAATCAGTACAATGTTGGTGTTTCATTCGCTTTGACAATAAAATGGCCTTTTTCAGGAAAACATTGCATCTTTTCATTAATGATCTTTTTGTTGTACACTATAAGATCAAACACTGACAATTTATTTAGAAATTTAAATATTTTGCTAACTTTGGGTTGTTGAAGCACATATCGAAGCTTTTGTTTCACGTATTGTACTTTTGAGTAAGACAAAGGAGTAGGTCCTTGACCACGAAGGGTCCAAAACGGCCCTATAACAGTTTCATATCATTTCGTTGAACGGTTTTGATTAAATAAGCATTCAAACACACATACAAAATTGAACAAAAACAGAAAAAAATATGTTGCATTTTGCGTGACGTCGTTATTCTACGTCAAGGTATACATACATTAGATATTTATAACGCTAGCAAATAATGAAGGTACACATTAGTTTCTTTCAATTATATATTTTAATATTTACATATTTACATTCATCATGTGCTTCAGTAGTAAAATACACAGTACCACATAAACACACACATGGGTATATTAGCCCAGACTGGTAGTAAACGGGTTTAGCCCCAGGTTTGATGACAGGAAACCAACCCCTTGTATGCGGCGCTTTTGCTTTCGGTTGATCTGACCAGCATGAAAAGCTGTTCTGTCTGCAAAAGTTTCAAGTACATAGTGAAATCTGCTATTACAATAAATATGATAGACGATAATTTCAAAATAATTTACTTTATCATGTTCATTGGTTGATTGCTTTTTGGCATTCATGTATCCCGGAAAAAACGTACATGTAATACTAAATAGTCCTTGTGTACACTGTGTATGTATCGGTGAGCGTCCGCTACCGACGCTGGTATAATGTAAGTTTTTTCGACATATTCTGATAATTCTGGTGAAATAAATGTTTACCTTTGATTAAGGTTTTGGTTAAAGTTTTGTAATGGGTTACCATACACTTAATAATGATGTTAGGATGTTGATTATTTGAGTAAAGGTTCTATAGGGGTCTAGCATTAATACTGTGGATTGAAAATGGATATATCTTTTCAATTTTTGACATGTTTTCCACTTGACTATCTTTGCCAAAATCTGCAGGGTAAAGTTTGGGTTAAAGTTGTTTTGTAATGGCTCACCGTGCACTTAATAATAGTGTTAGGATGCTGATTTTATGTACAGAGGTTCTTTAGGCGTCTAATATCAATGTTATTTAATGACCGTGGAAAAATAAGTTCATTTATTTTGAATTTTTGACATCTTTTCAACTTAGCTATCTCTCTATACTCTAGTTCCTATCTCTCTATACTCTAGTTCCTACATCTGTACTCTAGTTCCTATCTCTGTACTCTAGTTCCTACCTCTATACTCTAGTTCCTACCTCTGTACTCTAGTTCCTACCTCTGTACTCTAGTTCCTACCTCTGTACTCTAGTTCCTATCTCTGTACTCTAGTTCCTATCTCTGTACTCTAGTTCCTACCTCTGTACTCTAGTTCCTATTTCTGAACTTCAGTTTCTATTTCTATACTCTAGTTCCCACCTCTGTACTCTAGTTCCTATCTCTGTACTCTAGTTCCTATTTCTGTACTCTAGTTTCTATTTCTATACTCTAATTGCTATCTCCGTACTCTAGTTCCTATCTCTGTACTCTAGTTCCTACCTCCGTACTCTAGTTCCTATCTCTGTACTCTAGTTCCTATTTCTGTACTCTAGTTTCTATTTCTATACTCTAATTGCTATCTCCTTACTCTAGTTCCTATCTCTGTACTCTAGTTCCTATTTCTTTACTCTAGTTTCTATTTCTATACTCTAATTGCTATCTCCTTACTCTAGTTCCTATCTCCGTACTCTAGTTCCTACCTCTGTACACTAGTTCCTACCTCTGTACTCTAGTTCCTACCTCCGTACTCTAGTTCCTATCTCTGTCCTCTAGTTCCTATTTCTGTACTCTTGTTCCTATCTCTGTACTCTAGTTCATATTTCTGTACTCTAGTTCCTACCTCTGTACTCTGGTTCCTATCTCTGTGCTCTAGTTCCTATCTCTGTACTCTAGTTCCTATCTCTGTACTCTAGTTTCTATTTCTATACTCTAATTGCTATCTCCGTACTCTAGTTCCTATCTCCGTACTCTAGTTCCTACCTCTGTACTCTAGTTCCTACCTCTGTACTCTAGTTCCTATCTCTGTACTCTAGTTCCTATCTCTGTACTCTAGTTCCTACCTCTGTACTCTGGTTCCTATCTCTGTACTCTAGTTCCTATCTCTGTACTCTAGTTCCTGCCTGTGTACTCTAGTTCCTATCTCTGTACTCTAGTTCCTACCTGTGTACTCTAGTTCCTATCTCTGTACTCTAGTTCCTACCTCTGTACTCTGGTTCCTATCTCTGTGCTCTAGTTCCTATCTCTGTACTCTAGTTCCTATTTCTGAACTTTACTTTCTATTTCTATACTCTAGTTCCCACCTCTGTACTCTAGTTCCTATTTCTGAACTTTACTTTCTATTTCTATACTCTAGTTCCTACCTCTGTACTCTAGTACCTATCTCTGTACTCTAGTTCCTATTTCTGAACTTTCCTTTCTATTTCTATACTCTAGTTCCCGCCTCTGTACTCTAGTTCCTATGTCTGTACTCTAGTTCCTACCTCTGGACTCTAGTTCCTACCTCTGTACTCTGTTCCTACCTCTGTACTCTAGATCCTACCTCTGTACTCTAGTTCCTATTTCTGAACTTTACTTTCTAATTCTATACTCTAGTTCCTACCTCTGTGCTCTAGTTCCTACCTCTGTACTGTACTCTAGTTCCTATTTCTGAACTTTACTTTCTATTTCTATTCTCTAGTTCCTACCTCTGTACTCTACTTCCTATCTCTGTACTCTATTTCCTACCTCTGTACTCTAGTTCCAACCTCCGTACTCTACTAGTTCCTATCTCTGTACTCTATTTCCTACCTCTGTACTCTAGTACCTATCTCTGTACTCTAGTTCCTATTTCTGTACTCTTGTTCCTATCTCTGTACTCTAGCTCCTACCTCTGTACTCTAGTTCCAACATCCGTACTCTAGTTCCTACCTCTGTCCTCTAGTTCCTACCTCTGTACTGTACTCTAGTTCCTATTTCTGAACTTTACTATCTATTTCTATACTCTAGTTCCTATTTCTGTACTCTAGTTTCTATTTCTATACTCTAGTTCCTATTTCTGTACTCTTGTTCCTATCTCTGTACTCTAGTTCCTACCTCTGTACTCTAGTTCCAACCTCCGTACTCTAGTTCCTACCTCTGTACTCTAGTTCCTATCTCTGTACTCTAGTTCCTACCTCTGTACTCTAGTTCCTATCACTATACTCTACATAGAGATCCCTATGAATGGTGTTCGGCATCAGAGAAGCTTTCAACTACCGGGTATCTAAGGTAAAGTATATCGTCGATGGTTTTGTTAACATTTGTACTAGTTGATATAAAGGCAAATATTCCGTTATCAGTAGTTGTTGACAACAATATTGAAATTCCCAGTAACGTGTACTATTAAACGCCATGTATTAGTCAATCTATAATAGACATGATTAGTTTGTAAATAATTCATTTTCGTTAATCATCATTAATTGAAGTTTCAAGTCTCGACTTGTTCAAGGAATCGTTTTTACATAGTCGTGTATAGATATGATTTACTAACATTGTAGTAAACAATAAAAGAAAACTAAATTATACACAGGGGTGTACTGAACATGTACCCAGTACCCATTTAACCAATACCAAACTAGAATCAAATTACAACTTAATTGTGACTAGGGTGTGGTAAATCATAAAACACTAACTTAATGTACATAGATTTGTTATAAACGATGACACAACATGTGTACAATTAACGTGAAAATGACAAAAACATTGACATGTTTGGCCCTGGATGTACATACACACAAAAGCATATAAGTTTAAACTGACTTTGTGTGCTGTCGAATCAATTAACATACAGTGTACAGTTATATAAATTACTTGGCTATTGTAATGTAAGGATAGCCTTAGATTAGGCTATTTGAAAGCAGGTACACGTGGTTTACATTTAAACCAAATGCATAATTATAACACAAGTTTCTCTTTGTATCAGCATGCGCAATGAATGAATAATGAAAATCAAACACCAGCAGTAAATAACCGGTGATCACTGATATATGTGAGCATTCTCATGTGCTTACCCTACCGACAGTCAAATGAAAAAAAGCTGGAGGTAGCAAATCAAAACAAAATTAGGTAAACATTAAAATATAATATTGTTTCACTCATATTTAATCAAATGTCTATTCTTTTATTTGTGTATATTTTTCATTGGCTTAAATTAAACATTTATGTTATCAGCCCATTACATAAAAAGCGACGTCGCCGTTTGTAGCGTCGCTTTTGATTGGCTGACACAGCAGCGTAATAATTTGTAAGAGAAAAGAGTCCATCAATAAAAGTGGTTTTCCACAGGGATTGTGTATAGTAGATTAAATCATAAGGATTAACTTGAATATAAGAAATCAAAAGACGTTGATAGAACCTTTTTTCAAAAATCAAATAAAAACAAAGATGTCGTTAGTACCGAAGGATAATCTTCTCTAAAAACAAAACCATAACAGAAGATATTTCAAAAGAATACTGTGAGACAGTATGAAATATCTACTGCATCATTGAAATTTAATTGTTAAATTTCGAAGCAGTTTTTCTCCACAGAAATTCAAGAAAACCTGGTACTGTTCAAATTTCCAATAAGTTGAACGTAAATGCTTGAATGTTGTAAATGTTGTAAATGTGTTAGTAGAACTATCACATGAGTAATAGCATAACACTGCAAAGCCAAATAAAATGTTTCGAATCAGGTTAATGATAACCAAAGGAGGGGTGCCAATTTGGGCCTTCTGGTGGCTATCACCGATAAGTTTTATTTGTTGTATATACATACCTTGGGGTTATGCCATCATGATATGACATGAAATTAAGGTCAGCTTGGAGATCATTAGACATGCATCCGACGTTCAGATATTTCAAAAAGAAAGCATTTATATACAGTTCCTATACAAATAAATAGTTTAAAAGTCATAGAGGATATATATTCCTTTAACCTAAGTTGGTCATTGGTCATTGTACATGTATAATATATCTTTGCAAAGTTTTATTTCTAACATAAGTACAGTATGTTTCCTCCTTTCACCACATTACAAAAATAATCCTCAACATCAATGAGTAAAAAAAAGCTGTTTCTTCTTACATTTCCATCTTCCCTTAAATTTGGATACAACAATGCATCAAAAAGCTTTTAAGTATGTCAGAGTGTTTTGTTCCGCCTCACAGTTTTGTTTAATGCTAATCTTCGTACATTTTTGGAGCGTATTTGCAAATGAAAGTTCGTTTAATGGTTTCAAACAAAAACAATATTCTAAATCCAGAAATGTACTTTGTTTCTTATTTGCTTCTTACAAATAAATGATGTAATAACAGATACCAATTTATAGTGTTTCAGGATATATCCTGAAAGAAACAAATTACTCATCACTAGCACGTTGATAAAATCGAGAGGGCAACCACATATGTAGGTGACCACTCGTTTTAATCACGTGCAAGCTTTGTGTAATTTGTTTTCCTCAACAGACCCTGAAGAACGCTGTTAATAAACAATTTTTCCTCTATATACCTACTGCTATGTATATTTCACCAATATTAATCATAAATTGTCGTTCCAGTTGATTATCTCGCCTGGCGCGAGCAGATACATTTCTAAATCGGCAAGTCCGTTTTAAAGTCCTTCTCATAGTCTCCTATGTGTTACCATGCTGAAACAAACTTGTATTTGATTTACCATTATATGTAGATGGTTTCAAGTAGTATACTGATGATCATATACAATCTAATTAACACCTAAGTGAGATTTTTTTCAATCTTATCTTTATCAAAATCTGTCATTTTTTAAGCATTATGCATGATGTCATTTATAGTAACTGTTAAGGACTCACACAACTAAATTATTTACTATATGTTATTACCAAACATATTTGCTAATAACTTTAATATTTAAAGTTCAAAACTAGTGACAACTGTCTAGATTCATAAATACATACTTTTCAAAGACTACAAAATTACTTATTAGTAGGTTTAGTGTATGTTGGAGTGTCACAGCGCCAAGAAGCAACAACCACTTACTACTGAATTCCTAATGCTGATGTCGAAACTTATTTCTGTAGCTAGTTTATAGAGCCAAAAGCTTACGAGAAAAGGATGAATAACAAGGTAGAAACTGGTACTTTAGTATAGTTTTTAACTCACCTGCCCGAAGAATCTTTATATAGAGCGTGACAAAGTTTGAGAATGACTTTGACCAACTTTCAAGGTCACAGCGGTCAAATATGTCAAACACTTCAAACGACTTCTTCTGAAAAACTGAAAGGTATAGAATCTTAATATTTGACTGGTGGCTTCCTGAGATGGAGCCTGACAACGTTTGAGAATGAAAATGACCTTGACTTACTTGAAAAATGTGTCAAGCAACTTCTAAAGAAGAACCAAAAAGCATAGAATCTTATAATAATAGTTGGCTAGTAGTTCACCAGATGGAGCCGACAAAAGTTTGCGAGGGAAATATTTGTAGTGCAATATAATATTTAATGAGGATACATGTATTTTGCTATGACTGCTTAAATATTCAGGTGAGCGATACAGGCCCTCTGGGCCTCTTGTCTAATGATCTTGGACTGAATACAGGTAGATCTTTTAGTGAAAGTTATTGGCACATTTGTTTTACTTAAACAGGTCCATCACAAGCCAAGAAATCAAGGCCAGGAGATCAAGGCCAGTCTACAGGTTTGTGATACGTACACGTTCAGTTGGATGTAAACATGTAAAGATTGATTGTATGAATAATATATTTATAGCTGTACAACCATTATGATCAGAGAAAAAAACAGGATGTCATGTAACGCCTTATGTTATCATACATCATTCTAGCATTGAATTGAGACTGAGATAGGCTGGAAACCAATACACATCATAGATGGAAGGATCTTAAGATGCTTTATCAAAATTGTGAATTTCATGATCCCCAGACTCCATGTTTGCCCCTGGGGAGGGGGCGAAGTTTACTATACTTTATATAGGAATATGATACTTTTGGGTATGTTTGGTTCATTTTTCAATTGGAAATTATTCAAACTTGACAGACATTATAACTATGAAACGACGGTTAGATACTTCGACAGTTTGGGCCCGGGCTCGCCCCCCTAGGACTGAGGGGCGTGGCTAAAAGGGGTCAAATTGGCTTAAATTAAAAAAAACTTATCCAGACCAAGATATGCTGGAAAAAATAATCTACATAGATAGAATGGTCTTAAAGTTTACTATGGTTATATAGAAAAATGATACTTTTGGGTATCTTAGGTTCATTTCCTTTTGGAAATCATTGAAACTTGATAGACATTATAACTTTGAAATGACACTTTGATACTATGACAGTTTGGGCTTGACCATCTTGAAATTCTTCTCCAGACTCAGAAATGGCTTCATTGACCTAAGTACTATCCCTGAACAAGCAATGTCTGACACATGCACAGAAGCAAAATTATTTTTTCAAGAAGATTAAACTGGAAAAGAAAAAAGAAAAAAGAATGGCGTACACATCCATAGTGTTATATTATAAATAACTTTGCCAAAGGCCTGATTGTTCTCTTCAACAACACTTTGTATGTTTGTCGTTTATCATGTTAGTTTTAATATTATTAACAAAATATGCGACCTTTTTTATCACAAAAAGCTCAAAACAAATATCTTTCTCATATCAACTGGTGTTAAATTTAGATGATGTAGTCAACTCACAATTTTGTTGTTTTTTACCATTTAGCTGTATGTAATTTATGTTCAGTATAAAAAGATGCAAAGCTTCCAAATTGCAGATTACAATACACAAAAACTCTTCATTGTTGAATCAATATATTAGATATTTGATAGGACAGCTGTTTTCTTTTAACCAGTAACCTTACTCAAATAAAAAAAAAATCAAACAGCTCGTTCTACTGTAACAGGAAAGAAAGAAGTGAAAAGATGAGGTGTCCCAGCTGGGATCGAACCCAATACCCCAGGTTCCGAAGGTCAATGCTCTACCACTGAACAAAACTGAGCAAAAGGGACATGTCCTGTCAGCTGACTGATAGAACCACTATTTGTACATAGTACATAAACTACCCAGATTTTTCATGCTCCTTTTGCACTACATGTAGTTCAAGTTATCTTTGTTACAAAATGATTTCTTTTTCATTTGGCAACATCGATAACATCATTTTTTACTCAGGTGACCGTTAAGGCCCATGGGCCTCTTGTTGTTTTTTATATTAAATTTATATATGAACATATGAATGCTTAAATTGAAGTATTGTTTATATATATATTTATTTGGTGCCTTTGACTAAGGAACCAATAGTTTGTAAATGAAAAATGTAGATCCTCTTTGAGCTAGGCATAAAGGTGTTCAAAGCATCCTTCGATTTGACCCCCTAGATTCGGGGAGACAAAGACAGTTTAGAAATATTTGCAGTATTATATTTAATGAGAATATTTTGCTATGATTGCTTAATATTCGTGTGAGCACTACAGGCCCTTTGGGCCAGATGTCGAGTCTTCTGTTTTATGATAGTATACCTTGATATGGCAGAATTTGGTTACCTCATATGTGTCTGTGTTATATCAGGTGATTCTACTAACAAATATGCTTTGCATAACAGGAGGGAACAATTTACCAGCGGAGATCCTGCAGATGGACCCGTATTCCATACAGCTCTATCAAAAGTGTTTGGAGGAAAAGGAGGAGGCAGACTATAGTTTACGGGTGATTGTAATCGGTCAAACAGAGGTTGGTAAGACAACGCTTACTCGCAATCTCTTGAGGCTTCCACGAATTATACCACCGGAGAGCGCAAGGAGTACTGACGGAGTTGATATTCACTACAGTTTTGTAAACCTGCATGATAACGACTGGAACACAGTTGGCACTGGTATATCTTTATTAACTTTATATATTATGGGACATAATTACAACGCTGGGTAAAGATTATTTTTTTAATCCTTGTAATTATTCTAATCGCCTTTGTCGTCGCTCGTCGTGCATCGTGCATCTACCATGGTGCGTCCGAAAAAAATACATTTTCGACTTCTCAGAAACCGCTGATCCGATTTTAATAAAATTTTGCAAGAACCTTCCTTGGTCAAATATGCACCAAAAGTGTTATTAATATGGTTCCCAACCCCAGGGGCTCTGAGAAGCGGGGTTAAAAATGGTCAAATAAGCTTGAATATTAAAAATCTTCTTCTCCAAACCCAGATATGTTGGAAACCAATACTCTTCATAGGTGGAAGGGTCTTGAGGTACTTTATAAAAATTGTGAATTTCGTGACCCTCGAGGTTCACGTTTGCCCCTGGGGAAGGGGTGAAATTTACTATAGTTTATATAGAAAAATGCAACTTTTGGGTATATTTTGTTCATTTTCTACTGGAAATCATTCAAACTTGATTTACATTATGACCTTGAGATGACAGTTTGATACTTTGAGATTTTTAACATTGTCTCATCCCCAGGGGCTTTGGGGCTGAGCCCAAATGGGTTCATATAGCCAGATCTCATCTTCTTCACACTGAGATAGGCTGGAAACCAATACACATCATAGATGGAAGGGTCTTGAGGTGCTTTTTCAAAGTTGTAATTGCATGACCCCCAGAATCCATGTTTGCCCCTGAAGAGGGGGCGAAGTCTTCTATACGTTATATAGGAAAATGATACTTTTGTGTATGTTTGGTTCATTTTCAATTGGGAATTATTCAAACTTGACAACCATTATAACTATGAAACGACGGTTTGATACTTTGACAGTTTGGACCCGGGCCCGCCTCCTAGGGCTGAGGGATGGGGCTAAAGGGGTCAAATTGGCTTAAATTAAAAAATCTTATCAAGACCCAGATGTGTTTCCAGTATATCTGAGTCTGGAGAATAACTCCAAGATGGCTAAAGCCCAAACTGTCATAGTATCAAACTGTCAGCTGAAATAAGTAACCTACATAGATGGAAGGGTCTCTGGAATACAATTGCAAGTACATGCATTTATTTTGAATCAAAATCATCTTCCAACATCATCTTCAGCTCAAACATCGTTATAAATGATCGAGTGATCTATTGATATAGTACTTTCTGCGGTTTAAAATTCTTCCTGCTGCACCCTCTAAGTGCGTGCATGCTCTTACTGAACCGGTTCATTCTTATTCAAATACAAATGTGAACAGAAACATATGATTAGAGGTATGTATTATGATATTTATAAATCTTACTTGCGATGTATTGTGTAAATTCAAGAATGTGTTATGTGTGAACTCAGACACATAACTGACACTGTGTTGTCGACAGCGTAGTGCTGTACATGTTTACTTCTCACAGAAAGGCCCGGATATTGCGCTATTTTGGTCGTAGCTATTTTTATCACCGGCTTTCCCTAAAGATGAAACTGACCACACTGGACGTTGGCATCAAATTGGGTCATTATCAACTACGTAAACTTTCGTTAGGAGATAAATATTTTCAGTTTCGACTTGATTTTCAGGTAATCAAAAAAAATACTTCACTAAATTGTCCCTTTGAAAGCATATACAAACATTCAACGATTCAGTGTAGCTCACTTGGGCCTTTCAAATTTTAGGAAATAGAAGTGTTTTTATTTCCAATGTATCTTTTGTAAGGAAAACTTTGTTTTTAACAGACATGCAACATGCAGGTCAATCCCTGAATGCAAGACTGATACAGTCACTCAAGAGCACCACTTCAAATGAAAGAGCAGAACCAAAAATAGATGGTGAATCATCAGACCAAACTTCTTTAACATCTGAAGATGGCAGCTTCAGCGCTGGTGAATTTGACAATGATACTCCTGTTGGTGATCTTGTCCTGGAGACTGTTAAAAATTTGGTTATGTCACAAAAAGTTCCCTCAGGTGATTTCGATTATACAGTAAGTATAGTTGCATAATTGCAACAAAACAATTTTTATCATAAAATAATGAGAAGTATTTCTTCAGATTTTTACAATAAAGAAAAACAACAAATTGATGTCTTTTGACACAATTTATATGACTTTGATATGTTTTTGTTTGCAGAAGCTTGGAGAGTTGAGTGTGTGGGACTTTGCAGGACAGTTTGTATTCTACACAACCCACCACACTTTCCTGACCCATCGGGCTGTGTATCTACTGGTCACCAGGCTTGACCAAAACATCAACGACACTGTAGATAATGATCAATGCTTTCTAGACGCCACTGGCTGCAAGAAAATGAAAATCAAAGGTTAGTATGATAACAAGATATTTGATATTGAATTGTTACACAGACTCTACTTCTGTAACAAATTAAAATGCATAAATGTAATGAAACAACATACCATATTATGAGGGCTGCATAACACAGTTGGTAGTGTGTTCGGTAGTAAAGGTGGATCCTACAGGAGGTGAATGTGGTTGTATCCTTACCCCTTGTGACTTGAGTGGAATACATTATGGTCTGAATCAGAACACCTTTATTACATTCAGTTGGGGCATGTGGGGAGATACCAAAAGGGAGTAAATTACTAAAACTTTCAACAATCTTCTTCTTTAGACCTAGATATGCTAGAAACAAAACCTCTTCATGGAAGAGATGCCCTAAGGTGCTTCATTACAACTGTGAATTCAATTACCCTATGGCACACATTGGGGAAGTATTATTTACTATTTTATGATATATTATTATTATTATTTAACATGTTATGCTATCTGAAAAATAGTTGCCGCTTTGTCCATCCGCCCATTCATACATCCAAAAATCCAACATCTGACTCGCTGAAGATAGGGATTTATGTAGGATGAAAAGGTGATGTGTCACAATACCACTTTGGTGTCTGTATGCCGTAGATCCAGCTCACATTGAAGTAACATTATTTTTCAATCTTGATGACCTGTTCAGGGAGCATAATCCATCACTTTTATTGATTTTCTTGTGACTGACATTTACCAGAAAAATACGTTGATCACTTATGGACACTATTGTGAAGTTTGCCCATTCAGGATAAAATCTAAAAAAAAATTGAATTCATACTGCCAATCCTCCAGTGCCATGACACTCTGATTATGTCATATCACAACAACAAACAACGATTGCATCTCAACTTGAGAAGAACTTGAGGAACTTGAGAAGAACTTGTGGAACTTGAGAATGGATTTACATTTGTCACAGATCGAGGACTGATCATTAAGCAAATAGCTAAATGTTATTTGGAAAATACGGTGTTTTGTTGACTTTTTATGATATTTTTTTAAGGAAGCAGTATATCGAGCATTAACAGTTTATCACACTGTATTTTCAGGGTTTGTCGCTTAAAACATTTTCTGATACTGATCAAAAGTGCAAGATTCCTGCCGGTTGCATATTCATCTTTGATTTTTGACAAAAAAAATTGATATTGCTATTTCTCAGAAAGTAGGAGGGGAAGTTCTAGATTCCTCTTGCTTGGTTCTTTCAATATCTAAATAATAAACCTATATCTTTTATGACAGATTTTGTATCATACTGGATGAACTCTGTCCACCTATACAGCGGTGCTGCTGAACACCTGCCGCCTGTGATACTTGTGGGAACACACCTGGACAAGGTTGAGGTAAATTTATTGCTCCCTCAGTCTGTGCATATAGTTGTGTAGTGATATATATTTGTCATGATCTATTCTCCATTTCAACTTAAGCCGACATCTACTTAATAACCAAGAGACTGAAGTCCAAGTCTGATAAAAAATCACTTTTGCAAATTTCTATGACAAGTAAATGTAAGTACATGATGCTAACATAAAAGCAAACTAGGAAAATAGCTGACTTTTTTAGTCATAAAAAGATGAGTATTTTCATATCCAATATAAATCAAAGTTTTACCAGGCTGAATGGGCCATTAATGTGAGCATAGTGATGGGAGAATTGTGCAAAGTAAGAAACATATTTAATTCCCCATCTCAGATATTTTGCAATCAACTTTAGTAGGGCAGACTGAAGTACATAACTTAAATCATTACATTTATTCATTCTGGGGAGTTTATTGGAATTACTCCGACTAATCATCTGTCAGCAATATTGCGTCAAGCATATCTTAAAAACTACCAGAGCGATTTCTCTCATATTTAGCATACTTCTTCCAGATGATGTAATGTTGTGCCCTTTTGCTCGTCGTGTATTTTGGATGGTAGGCTATTCAAATCACCCTTTATCCGAGGTCCGTCCTCCGTTCGACCGTCCATCATTCTGTCCATCTTTTCTTCAATCCATCTCTCCGTCTGTGCCTCCTTAAACTTTTCTCGTTGGCGCTTTTTCACATGAGGGTTCCTAGTTTGCATATCAAGGTTTGGGACTGATAAGAAAACCAAGATGGCCGACAGGCAGGCGTCTTAAATGTTGTTAGTTAAAGTTAAAGTTTGTTAGTGCTTATTCTCAGAAAGTACAAGAGATGTCTTTCTTAAATCTTATATGAAGGTTCGCTTCGGTCCTTGGTTATGTGTATCAAATTTTCGCGACTGCTCAAAAAAACATAATGTGCGACAGTACCGGAGGAACATATCTCAAATTTCATTTGAAAGTTTATTATGATCCTTAGATACGCGTATTGAATCGAAAAACCAAGATGATCGTTAATGTTCTTTAATTTTGAGAGTAATAATTGTTAGCACTATTTCTGAGAAAAACAAGAGGGATCCTTCTGAAATTTTACAAGAAGCTTCCCAATATTCCCTTCTCATCCATGTGGATTTTTGGGACTGATCGAGAAAAAAGATGGCCACCAAACAAAACAACCATCTTGAATTTGACAGTTTAATTTTGTAATCTCTTTGGTCCTTAGTTGTGCATGTTCTATTTTGAGAGTGATAATAAAAACAAGATGGCCGCAGGAAGAACTAAACAGATCTTTCCCATATTGCACTGATTGGTGCTATTTCTTAAACATTAAGTACTGTACTAGTAAATATGTTAAACGACAAACTCACTTTGAAGGTTGTCTTTTATACACAACAGTTTGAGTTACATCAAGGTGCATTTACTATTTACATTACTCGATCAAACTGATAAGATCAAACTTTATATATAACTTGTGTCAAATGTATCTTAGACGTGGCCTAATACTTTTATATTATGAGATGTTGTGCCCTTTTGCACGCATTAGAATTGCACAAAACATCTTAGAGTTATGCCCCTTTTCATATTGTTTTACAAAAGATATTATCCCGGCATATCATCTATACTATTTCACCTGCAATACATTGAGTTACCTCAAAGTGTATTGATTGTTAATATTACTTGATCAAACAATCAAATACAAGCGGTATGTCACTGTGGCCTATGCTTTGACCTTTGACCTCAACCCTTTGAAACAAGTTTGCCCGGGACATATTTTCGATGATTTTTCACCTGGAGTAAATATATTTGGAATGCAGTACATCACGGGATGGTCAGATACAAAAAGTAGGTCAATGTGACCTGTACTTTAATTGCCTTTGACTTTAACCTTTGAACACGTTTGTTTGGTTCATATCTTATACCAATTCACCTTGCTTTACCAAATTTGCTATGCAAGTATGTTACGTCTGGGGGAGTACACGAAATATGGCTCTGTGGCATAACTTCTAAAATAGGTGAACAGCTCAGTAAATAAATAAATCAATGCTTTGCCTTTGGCTTACAGTTCTAGTTTATATTGGAGTGGAAAGTATTATTTGGCACTTGGCTTACAGTTCTAGTTTATTAGCTGATAGTATTTAACTAAATTTGACTGGAAGCATTCCTAGGTGATGGAAATTCAAAATTGTACAAATGATGAGGTTGACCTCCTAGGGGGCTGAGGGGCGGGACCGAAAAGGGTTATTTGGCTAGTTTGCTTTTAGGACTTCTCATTAACTAAGCGATGGATATCAACTAAATTTTGTTGGCAGTATCCCTAGGTGGTGGGGATTAACAATTAAACAAATGGAAGGCTGACCCCAAGGACTAAGGGATGGGGCCAAATATAGTTTATTACTTGGATATGGTTGAGATCCCCACACTAAAACCATATATGCAATTGCTGAATATAAAAAAATGAATGCACATATGCTTCCAGGATGGCGCTGGGGTCTGGCCTCACCCATGGACACTTAGTCCCTGGTTCATGACTTTTAAACAGTTGAAATCTCCACCCCATAACTAAGTACACAAATGCTGGGCTTAAAGAGTGGAACACATTCATGATATTAGCATTGACCCTTGGATCTGGCCACACTAGGGACCCAGTTTCTGAGTCACAACTTGGAAACAGTTGATATTCCCCAAATAAACAATTAAAGAGTTTAAAGATATGAATGCACATTTGCTTCCAGAATGGATCCGGGGTCTGCGCCACCCTTGGAGATTTAACCAAAGTCATTACTTCAAAACGGCTGAGATCCCCACCAAAAGAATATATACAATTGCTGGGCATTTTTTGAAAATTCTATTACAGATATGCTACAAGGATATGCCTTGGGGTCTGGCCCATTAATTCCCTTGGATCTTATTTGGAGAATATTTTGCTATGATTGCTTAGATATCCAGATGAGTGATACAGGGTCCCTGGGCTCCTTGTATTGGAGTGGGAGATATTAATTAGCCTTTGGCTTACAGTTCTAGTTTATATTGGAGTGGGAGGTATTAGTTAGCACTTGATTTACAGTTCTAGTTTATATTGGAATGGGAGGTGTTAGTTAGCACTTGGTTTACAGTTCTAGTTATATTGGAATGGGAGGTATTAGTAAGCACTTGACTTACAGTTCTAGTTTATATTGGAATGGGAGGTATAAGTTAGCTCTTGGTTTACAGTTCTAGTTTATATTGGAGTGGGAGGTATTAGTTAGCACTTGGCTTACAGTTCTAGTTTATATTGGATTGGGAGGTATTAGTTAGCGCTTGGTTTACAGTTCTAGTTTATATAGGAGTGGGAGGTATTAGTTAGCACTTGACTTACAGTTCTAGTTTAAATTGGAGTGGGAGGTATTAGTTAGCGCTTGGTTTACAGTTCTAGTTTATAGAGGAATGGGATATCTTGGCTTACAGTTCTTGTTTTTATATGACTTATCTGTTTACAGGGAGACATTGAAAAGAAGAATAAATCATACTTTGAGGATATCAAGAAGTATCTGTTGGAGACACCCACTTCTTGTCACCTGATTGACAGAGACTACACTGTTTCCGATCCTCCCGATGAGCTGGAATTGGAAAGCCTAAGGCAAAAAATTGTGGAACTTGCATCACAGCAAACATACTGGGGAGAAAAGATTCCAGCCAAATGGATTACCCTGGAAAAAGCATTGATGGAAAAGAAGATTGAAGGTGTCAACATCATGTCATATGACAATGTTGTTAAGCTAGACGAAAATACTGGAGTTCCCATTGATGACGAAGAGAAACTAGATTTGTTCTTGCGCTTCCAGCATGCCAAAGGGAATATGATTTACTTCAGTGAAGGTTGTCTACGGAATCACATAGTTCTCAACCCACAGTGGCTGATAGATGCCTTCAAATGTATAATCACCGCTAGGCAATTCTGCATCAAGAACCCAAGTTTGGTTGATCACTGGGAGGCCCTCAACCTTTCTGGAAAGCTGTATCTAGGTATGGTGGATGCAATATTTAGAAGAGAAGACAGATTCTGTGAACATAAAGGGCATATACTGGGTCTGATGGAACGTCTTCACATCATAAGTCACCATGTAGGGAACACAGATGATGACAAAAGTGACACATCAGAAAAAGAATTCTACTTCGTGCCATCATTACTCAAGGACAACGTTACAGAGTGCAAAATGGAAACCTATGTCAAGGGCACAAACAGAACCCCCTACTTGTGTTACGTCTTCAAGAACAATTTCCTGCCAACTGCTGTGTTCCACCGTCTCGTTGCTGCCTGTCTATCCAAATATTCAGTTGCAAAACAGGGGAAACAGTTCCTGATTTTCTGTGGTTGTGGGATCTTTGATCTGAATGGTGGGCTGACACGTCTGGTGGTGACTTTCTATGACAACATCATTCAAATTGGACTGTTCAGGTTCAGTAGAGAAAAATGCGCACCAGAAACCTCTACATGTGTTTTGGTACGACAATTTGTAACAGAGACCCTGGAGCGTGTTCTGGGCCGATACCACATGAACTTGCCATTCACACTGCATTTGAAGTGTGGGAAAAGTCCCCTGCTATCTCATGAAGGCTTGCTGTCAGTAAAGGCTGTACAATCAGGAGATCAAGATGTGGCGTGTCATGACCATGAGAAGGAAAGCCACATCATCAGCAGACGTTGCCTCCTACAGCTATGGTTCCCTGATCAGGTATCGTCTTCAGACAAAATTCATGTAAATCAAACACAAAACGTGAGATAAACGTATTCACAAAGCCTGCTATTTCAAGTAAATTACCCTGCAATCTCCGAAAAATTACCTTGCTACATGTATCTGAGATAAATTACTTTGCTGTCTTATAAATCACCCTGCTATCTTAGATTAATAACCCTTTTGTTTCATATCTATAACCCTGATATCTCATATTACCCTGCTATCCCAAATGAATAACCCTGCTATCTGAGATAAATAACCTTGATATCTCAGAGAAATAACCCTGCTATCTAAGATGAATAACCATGATATCTCAGATAAACAACCGTGCTATCTAAATAAGCAAATCTACTTTATCTGTCGGTCTGTCAACATTTTTATTCAAACATCTTCTTCTGAACTGCTGCGGATTCAAAATCATACAATTGAGAGGCTGACCACAAGGGTCTGTGATCAGTGATAGAAGGCGTAACTTGGCTACACTGTTTTGAACTGTTGCTAAGTCCACTCTTTTAATACACTGGCAGTGGGCATTGACCGCCTTTAATACAACATGAGGCCTAGATCAAGTAAAGTCCTTTATCCATAAGGAAGGGGAGACGGATTTTTAACTTACATTGTGGTAGAGCATCCGTCTGTCAATAAACTTTCCTTTAAAATACTACTTGTCTAGATTGCCTGAGAGAGAATTTTGACTTAATGTTATCTAAAGAATTGTTAGGTCAAGAGGACTGAAATTGGTAAAATTGGAGACTGTAGAACCACCCCCTCCCCCAAAACACACTTACATCACCTGAAACAGAAGGTAGGGGCCAAATGATTATGTGAAATAAAGGTAAGAAATAAACATCCCTTTTCTGAGATAAAGGGATTTTGGTTTAATTTGCTTGTGATAGGTGACTCTAATTTGTATAAACGAAGGGTATGCAGCACCCCTTTGATTCAGAGGGGCAGGGGGCTAAAGGGGAAATAGAGGTACATTTTTAAAATCTTTCTTCTGAAATGCTGTAAAGAATGCCTACAGAAATCTTCAAATATTCTACCGAGAGCTAGTTGCCTGAGGTCTGTTGTTAACCTGTTACATGTAACCATTGTGATCGGGTGGTGCAGTGGATAGCGCACTTGCCTTTCACCAAGGCGGCCGGGGTTCGATTCCCCGATCGGACGTAAAAAGGTTGGGGTCACCTGCCCGACCATGTGGGTTTTCTCCAGTTACGCCGATTTCCTCCCACACTAAGACCCCCTCGCTCTTACATCCGGGCCAACAAGAGTGATTAATATAAGTTGAAATAACTTGTTTGATAAGTGTTTTAAAATAAATAAAGTTTATAATTGTTATATTTCTGAAAACTTACTGCTTAAAATAAAGTTTGATTTGAAGGTTTAGTTGGATCATGAATGGACAGTTTGAAAAGTATTTTTCCATGACTGCTCTATACTTAGGTGAGCAATATGTCCTTTGGGCCTCTTGTTGTTATTGTCACGACTATTGGTGTCGCTAGCTAGTTTAAATGTTGTATATGATGATGACATACATATATCAGACTGAATTTTAACATATTTTATCATTTTACATTGTTTAATCTGGAATGAGAATAATTATAAAGGAACCTATACCAATTTGTTTTAGTTGAAGAGTAATGATACAATTGTTTAATTTTAGGTATCAGCTACAGACACCAATGAGGAAGGTGAGATTTTTTTATTATTAAATTAATGTAAATTCAAAATATCACAACATCAAGATTGTATTTCACCCGACTTGTGAAATTTTGGCGTGTTCATTATTTGCTAATTCATTCCGTGCACCAAATATACCAAAAATTAACCACATCCAAAATATCCCGAAGTACGGTATAAGAATACTTAGGATGAGTGTATTAGTTCCTCGCCGGTCCCTTCTCTCTGTCCATCCAAAAAGATTATAATGTGTGTAAATTTTATGCTATTTTACCAGATTTGGCATATAACTACACCTTGGGATGGTGGAGCGCAGAGTTAATAGAGTAGATCACTGTGATCTACATGTGTGCTCCAACCTTTGACCTTTACATTGGATAAAGATTTCTGTTCTTTTACCTTTGACCTTGACATTTAAAATACGTTTGTTTGGCACATATTGTGTATACTTTATCACCATCTGTAACCATATGTGATATACAGGCACATTTCGCAGAGTACAAGAAGTAGTTTTTTTTTGCCATTAACCATAGCAAAGGTTTGTCTTGGGCATTTTTTCAATAATATTTCACTTGGATAAACCAGATTTTTTTTACTAGTACCTTAGCGTTGACCTTTAACCTAAAATAAATCGTCTATAGAATATGTTCTATTCTTTATGTCAAACCAAAATCAGTATGCTGGTACGTGTTATGATGGTGAAGTGCAGTATATAAAAAGGACATGTATGTTACTATGATCTATTCTTGAACCCAGTTGTCATTGATAAATTTTGTCCGGAGCATATATATAACTTCACTTAGAGTAACACTAGATGAGATATGCAAATATTAGTTAGATGGTAGAGTGCAGAGTTTGAGTTTCAGAAGTAAGTCACTGTGACATATGTTTTGACCTTTGACCTTATCGTTTGAAAGTTTGAAAAAGAAATGTCCAGCAGCATATCTTATATAGTATTTATCTATTAAGATTAACAAAATGCATATATAGCTTACCTCTGACCCCAGAACTGGAGTAACATGCATGTACAATGAAGGCAAAGTTAAAACTTCAATGTATCATTATTTTAAATAGATATATTTCATGATTTGTTATGGGGGAAAAATATTTTTTTCTTTTTTTCTTTCATGATAATTACTTATTTAGATTGTAAATGCTTTGCATCAGTCTTACAGGTTGTAGCGTTTCACCAATGTGAACATAAAGCTGTTAAATAATGATTTACCAGATTATCTGATATCTTACTAATTGTCGGGGTAACTGGAAGCCCTGAATAGTCACCATAATATGCATTTGCTCCTGCATTTCCCTTTGACTTCCTTCTCCAAACTGACTGTTTTAACTGTAACTCAATCATATTTAGCTGGATTTGATCTTTTTCATTCAGACATGTCTTGCCCATTTCCAGTTTTAGTTCTAGCTTTTAATGTAAATTGAAATCATGGGCATCTATTATCCGTAACTGCCCAAATGACCTTCTCTATACGCCCACAAAGCAAAACGTATATTGACTCTGTCAACTCGTCTTTTTTGTGAGTGCAGCTAGTCCCACAATTTACTGAATGTAGTGGAGTTTTATGTGTGGGCGATTTATGAAGATCCACATAATGTAAAGTCAGGACCTGTGTCAATTTTTATAAGTGCTGAGGCCATAGGAAACCTTAAATGTTTATGCTGGCATAACACATTCTTGAGAGAGCAACTGTATGATCAGGTCCACCATTTTCTGCAATGGACAGCTTTTTGAGCCTTGCATCTTTCAACATTCATGTGTTTATGTAATTTTTGCACCACAGAACGTTCATTTGATTGATATTCAGGCGTTCATAAAAATACTTAATAACTAACCAACCAAGATAACTTTTTTAATGACTTAAACAAGTTTATATTGTGTTTTACAGTGGATCAGTGCACGTCTGGCAACAACTTCGGACAACCAGGTGCTATTCCAAATGAGAAACTCCGTCGAATATCTACAAAAATCGGCAAAGAATTCAAAGCACTAGCTTGTCACCTTGGACTTATAGAAGCAGAAATCGACCAGATTCAGTCAGATCACCCTCACAATACCAAAGAGCAGATCTACCAAATCTTAGTCAGCTGGACACAGAAATCAGGACCACAAGCTACAGAGCAATGCTTGAGAGAGGCTTTTAGAAATTCTGGAATCAATGTAGAAATTCTCTCTGAACCAGAAATTTCTAGTCCATTTTTATAGTGCCAGGTTGGTAACTGTCTGCAAGTTTGCCGCTTCAGTACTTAAAAACTGTAGGAAATTATATATATCTATATAGATATATATAGATATGTGTGTGTGTGGGGGTGATTAGAGATATGCAATGTGTATAAGAAATTAACTATGTTACAGGCTAGTTTGCATTTTGATATATAGATGAAGTGTTGTGTTTAGAGTTGCTAGATATGTGGAGTTTATTATGTAAGCAGTTTAGGACCACAGATCGGCATTAGAATGAAAGTAATTTCCTATTAACAGAAGAATGTGTTTTCTTTTTTCTGTCCCAAAGTGTAAAACATGACAAAGACACAGAATGGTTTTCATTAATAACAAGAGTTAGATGTTATGATTTTGAAATGGCTTTAGTTGATGTATTGTATACATGAATGATGAGATACACTTTAACATGTTTAACAAAGCATTAGACAAACATGCTTTATACTTATCTGAGGATGTAGAATGTGATCACACCCGTCTGTGTGGTGAAGACAGGAAATGTTAATATGCTTAAAACTATTGTCAGTGTTATAGATTATGAGATAAACCTTGTCGTGTTAAATGTTACAGGTTCAGAAGAATGTGTTAATTTTACATCTTCAAACTTAAGGTGGTAAACCTGACGAGGACACATTATTCTGTGTGGAGAGGAGAGAAGTGATAATGTGTAGCGTAAACAACTGCTGAAATATGACGAGAACGACATGAGTCCAAGACTAAAATATCTGTGTCCCAGATTTCACTGATACTTCCAACCCTGAAGCCCTTGAAAGACAAACGGATATTAATGCTCTAATGTAAACACAGTGAAAAAGAGAAACCCTTATAGATGTTGATATCACATTATATTACTTTTTTGCAGCGAGATATTGAATTCTTTTAGCTTGATACAACTGATATCTTTTTAGTTTTGACCAATTACAACAATTTTTCTCTAGAAAAATATATCTGACCCGTCTCGGTATCCTCTCTCGGCTTTTGTTCATTCTTGCTTATATAAATGCTATCATCTGCGCGTGAAACATTATTGTATTTCTTCTGGAAAGTTAATATATCAATACCAAACCGTTTGGAGAGATTTGTCGTCGCCATAGCCTCCGTTATCATTGCTATGCTGATGACACACAAATTTACATGGTCATCAAACCACAGAACAGTTGGGATACAATTTTAGAAAATCTGGAAGCTTGTCTGATAGATATCAGTACCTGGATGAACGCCAACATGCTAAAGCTTAATTAGGAAAACACGGAACTAATCGTCTTTTCCCCAAAGTGTCGGTAAACAATGGCTCTCCAGCTCAAGGTCAGTGCCAGAACTATTGAGGCTGTCCCAGCTGTTAAAAACCTAGGGATATACTTTTTGTAGTTCACTGAACATGGCGAAACAAGTGAACGCTATTGTCAAATCCTGTTACTACCAGATCAGGAACATCAGCTGTATTCGGCACTTTATAACTGTAAATGCATGCAAGATTTTGGTGCATTCACTTGTTACCTCTCAGTTGGATTATGGTAATGCCCTGCTCTGTGGTATATATGACAAACTAGTCGTCTGCAGAGGGTCCAGAACACTTCAGCACGGATGGTTACTCGTACTCGAAAGAGAGAGCACATCACACCTGTGTTATATTCATTGCACTGGTTACCAGTGTACGATACAGGTCGCAGTACAAAATTTTGGTGTACATATACAAGGCATTGAATGTAACAGCTCCCCAGTACCTACATGAGCTTGTTACCCTGTATCAGCCGTCACGATCACTGTGGTCGGAGTCGGAATCATTGTTGTGTGTCCCAAAATCTCGTACTGTGACCTATGGAAACCGGTGCTTTGGGAGGGTTTCGGCCACATTGTGGAATAGCTTACCATCTGCTATTAGAAAGTCAAATACCCTGGCCAAATTTAGGAGGGGCATCAAAACTCACCTCTTCACGTTTGGATTTTAGACTCTTTGCAAAGACGTCATGTAAATACCTCCCTTTATTTGTTCATTTATGATTTCTGCTTGCTTAAATGTATAAAAGTGATTGTAAGCCTTTGTTTTTGTTTCACTATTATAACTAATATTATTATCCATATGTTGTAAAGCGCCTTAGAGTAATTTAAAAAAATATATAGGGCACTATATAAAATGTTGTAAATTATTATTATTATTGTTATTATATCATAAAGGTAATTTTTTTTAGTGAAGCACCAAAACGTATTGTGAATTTCGACCTTTATTTGTAGCACATTTTGTTGTGATTCAAAAGTGTAACAGATACAAACGTCAAAATGATTTTGTGAAATACAGATACACTTCCAAAAGTTTTCACTGTAACGGTATCACAGTAAATATACAAATTGTGCTATAAATAGATGGGCACAGATATTGTTCACGTTATTGTGCTTTTCACTGTCGACAAGAGGATTGAATAAGTTGTCATTGTATAAGAAATGGTTGATAACTGACTTGTATAGTAAAAATTAAAAGCTAAACATTGCTGATAAATGATGTACTGCAATGCTGTTTAGTTTTGCTTTTTGTTTATACAGCAAATTTCACCTTAAGGGCTTAGAAAGTATTCACCCAATACTGCTTTGGTCCCGAGCGGCTCAGCTCTCCTGTATTTATAACATGTGACCAGTATCTGCATCTTCATTATGCTTTACGTGGATGCAACTATAGCAATACACTTTCTAACAATTAACTAAATAACGTGTATGTTTGCTTTCAATGTTAATTCGTACATGTGAAGGATACTAGTACCTTTGTTCAGATTGAATGAACCTAATAAATTACAATATTCAAAGTAAAACAAGTTGTTGTTGTTTAAATGGACACTATATAGGAGAAATACTATAGATATTTCAAAAGATTTATCTGCTTGGTTCAAGGTATTTAAAGCAAATACAGACTAAGTGGGTTAATATTGTATAATTCTCCAGGGGAAGAGGTTTCGGTCACACTACAGGTCAATTCACGTACTATTGGTCATGTCTTAATTTTTACTCTAGGTTTCGACCGTATTCTTAGTAAAATCAACATGCTCTATGTCACATCTTTGTTATCTAGGTCATTCTACTCTAGCCCACATCTGTATACCCCGAGTCACATTGTTGTAGTGTAGCTCACATTAGCAAACTGTAGATCACATACGTATACTGTAAGACACATAGGTATACTGTATGTCACATCTGTAAACTGTAAGTCACATTGGTATACATGTACTATAGGTCTCATCTTTATACTGAAGGTCACATTTTTATACTGTAGGTCACATCTGTATACTGTAGGTCACTACTGCAAACTGAAGGTCACATCTGCATAATGTAGGTCAAATATGTTTACTGTAGGTCACATCTGTATACTGTCAGCCACATCAGTATACTGTAGATCACATATGTATACTGTTTGTCACATATGCATACTGTAGGTCACATCTGTATACTGTAGGTCAAATCAGTGTACTGTAGATCACATCTGTATACTGTAGGTCACATCTGTATACTTTATGTCATATCTGTAAACTGTAGGTCACATATGTATATTGTAGTTCACATCTGTATATTGTAGGTCACTCTTGTATACTGTAAATCACATCTGTATACTTTAGGTCACATCTGTGCACTGAAGATCACATCTGTATACTGTAGGTCACATCAGTATACTGTAGATCGCATCTGTATAATGTTTGTCACAACTGCATACTGTATATCAAATCTATATAATGCATGTCATATAGTAACTGTAGGTCACATCTGTATACTGTAGGTCAAATCTGTATACTTTAGGTCAAATCCATGTAATGTAGATCACATCTCTCTACTGTAGGTCACATCTGTTAACTATAGGTCACATCTGTATACCTTGTCATATCTGTAAACTGTAGGTCACATATGCATACTGTAGGTCACATCTGTTAACTGTAGATGACATCTGTATACTGTAGATGAAATCTGTATACTATAGGTCACATCAGTATAATGTTGGTCACATCTGTATACTGAAGGTCACATCTGTATACTGTAGGTCACATCTGTTAACTGTAGATGACAACTGTATACTGTTGATGAAATCTGTATACTATAGGCCACATTAGTATAATGTTGGTCACATCTGTATACTGAAGGTCACATCTGTATACCATAGGTCACGTCTGTATAATGTTGGTCACATCTGTATACTGAAGGTCACATCTGTATACTGTTGGTCACATCTGTATACTGAAGGTCACATCTGTATACTGAAGGTCACATCTGTATACTGTAGGTCACATCTGTAAACTGTAAGTCACATCTGTTAACTGTAGGTTACATCTGTGCACTGTAGATCACATCTGAATGCTATAGGTCACATCAGTATACTGTAGATCAAATCTATATGATTTATGTCATATATAAACTGTAGGTCCCGTCTGTATACTGTAGATGACATCTGTATACTGTAGGTTACCTCTGTATACTGTAGGTCACATCTGTATACTGTAAGCCACATCCATATACTGTTGGTCACAACTGTATACTGTAGATCAAATCTATATAATTTATGTCATATATAAACTGTAGGTCACATCTGTGCACTGTAGATCACATCTGTATACTGTAAGTCACATCTGTACACTGTAGGTCACATCTGTATACTGTAAGCCACATCGATATACTGTTGGTCACAACTGTATACTGTCGGTCACAAATATATACTGTAGGTCACATCTGTAAACTGTAAGCACATCTGTATACTGTAGGTCACTCATGCAAACTGAAGGTCACATCTGCATTAATATAGGTCAAATATGTATACTGTAGATAAAATCTGTATACTGTAGGTCACATCTGTATACTGTAAGCCACATCAGTATACTGTAGATCACATCTGTATACTGTCAGCCACATCAGTATACTGTAGATCACATATGTATACTGTTTGTCACATCTGTATACTGTAGGTCACATATGTATACTGTAGATCACATCTGTATACTGTGGGTCACATATGTTAACTATAGGTCACATCTGTATACTTTATGTCATATTTGTAAACTGTAGGTCACATATGCATACTGTAGGTCACTCTTGTATACTGTAGGTCACTCTTGTATACTGTAGGTCACATCTGTATACTTTATGTCATATCTCTAAACTGTAGGTCACATATGCATACTGTAGGTCATATCTGTATACTGTAGGTCACATCTGTATACTGTAGGTCACATCTGTATACTTTAGGTCACTCCTGTAAACTGTAGGTCACATCTGTATACTGTAGGTCACATCTGTGACATGTCGGTCACATCTATTTACTGTAT